AAGGTGTATGACTTGTTGAACAACAAGAGCACAATTCGGGCTCTGGAGGATGCCTCCGGTCGCGTTCAGTTGGTCGGCCTTAGCGAGGTCCTCGTGAAGAGTGCCGCCCAGACGCTGGTACTGCTACGTCAGGGTTCCCTGCTGAGGACCAGTGGCCAGACCTCCGTCAATGTCAACTCCAGTCGATCACATGCAATTTTTCAGGTAAAAATGTATGTACTTCAGCGAGCGCCTCTACCGTTGTACGCTATCGAGACTTTTGTGTTTTGTACTGCCTTCACGAAACTATGCTTATGATCTTTGAGAGAGCCTCCACGAGGAAACTGGGTAGAAACGCATCTCCCTAAATGTGGGCATGTTCGAGAGATACGTGGCTAATCACCTGGCAAAAGTCGACGCCAACTTTATTATCCTTAACATATATTACCACAAACATACTACGTCTTTGATTTCAGTAAACTGTTTATTGCGGATGAGCATTTCATAATGGAAATGCAGTGAACGTGTTTTAGGCTGCTCTTTCACAAACGCCTCACTCTTTTTTCAACCATTAGTATTTCATCAATATTGTCATGCATTTTTACATATGAAAGCGACATGTAATCATTTTTGGTCTCTCCACATGTTTTTATGCATTCCTGTACCGTTTAAATGGAAATTTTAAGGACTTCTGTCATTTACTCCAGATCTAGTGACTGAAGTAGCTTGGCATTTAGTAGAAAATCTAACTATATCCCCTGCTCAGTTTTGTAGCATGCAAAACGTGTTTTCTGACTGCATGAAACGTCCACATTGATGAAACAGTCTGTTAGATGAAGTTTTGACATTCTTGTACAAGCATTGGTTTCTAAATATCTTTATGGTTAGAAGGGCATATATGGAACGTGCGTAACCAGACGACCTTTTCCACCGTAATGCATGCGGCACAGATTCCGGTGGTTGCTCACATTCCCCTATATTTAATCGTATTTGTTACGGCTGCGATCATGCCTGATCTAGTTGGTCTCAATTATGTCACGGATTGTAAGTCTCTGCGCGCGATGATCTGCCGCAGTTAAATGTATAATCTTTGCCAACGGCGCTAGCCGAAAGTGCAAGACCAACTGCCGTGTTCTGACAAACTGTTTCGAGTCAGGTTTTGAGTTGACCCCTTCTAAGACGCCAACCAATTGGGTAGCGGTGTCGGATCGAGGGAGCGGTAACAATGAGCTCGTGCAGCGGACGAGGAAGAACGTATCGAAACAACCTCAGTTGTATTTCTTGGATGGCTTGGACTTGGTTCGGAGAAGGGTGTGGGGTGCACTGCCTCAGATAAAGTAGTCCGTAAAACAAATGCAAGTATAATGTAGCAGGCAGTATAATAGATAAACTTTTTCGGCCATCATGGTCCCTCGGTCGGAGGCCTTCTAGGCCGCATCTACTATTATAAGTTATGATATAAAACAAATCTTGCTAGAATATGGAAAGTAGCGTGCTATTTGTATTTTTCGGGCGTCCGGTTAGGCGGTAGCGCGCACTACAATATCGGCCTAGGTTCCACTTTAAAACCTTTACGGATATGTAGGCAGTGTAGCAGTCTAGTATGTGTGATCTGATAGGAGAAATCAGTCAAATATTAGGACTAATTTATTCGTACACAAGGCAAGTTGCCGTAAAGAGACTGTTTGCTTGCCAGAGATAAAAATGTCCGTCTGGGAGCTTGTCAGAAGCGGTGTGTTCTAATACAACCGTTCTGTGAACAAGGTAACAGAGGTATGTTGTGAATGCGTTTGCCATTGTTCGTGTCAGGATGCGAGAGTGCGTGTGGGATGTCTGATTGGGCAGGTCAAAGGGGCCAGACAGGGGAACATTAACTACGGATGAAAAGGCAGGCTGGCCGGTGCGCGCTAGGTAAGCACTGCCTGCAGATGTGGCCTTGACTGTGCTGAGGTCAAGTCTGGGGCGGCCGTGCCTTGTTGTTTTGTCTGTTAGTTAACAAGCCTGTCGCGGCCGTTCGGATGCAGGGGAAAAACTTACACACTAGAGCAGCCACTAGGTAAGCCTGGCGGGCGTCGTGAGGACCTTGGGACTGCTGCCACAGCAGTAATGCGTATGTATACGTGTGAATCTGCCTGCCCTCTTAACCCCAATGCTGTCTCCTGATATGTTTTTCCACAATCACCTCCCTCCCCCTTCTAAGGTGAATCTGCGTCGGCAACCAGGATCGGATAAGCAGAACCAGGGTCGTGCTACGACTGCTGTTGCTGCCGCCGGCGGGAAGGGCCAGGCGATTTTCAGGTCACAGAGTCTGGTTGGCCGCTTTTCACTCATTGACCTGGCGGGCAATGAGCGTGGTGCAGATACTGCCCGCGACGGAGACAAGACTGCTCTGCGTGAGTGCAGCGAGATTAACCGGAGTCTGCTGGCCCTGAAGGAGTGCATTCGTGCGATGGGTCGACGTGGCAGCTACCTGCCCTTTCGAAACAGCAAACTTACACAGGTAAGGGGACAGGCAAACAGGCAGGTAGTATGGCAACTTTGGTTACTATTTAATTGCCCCCAGGTCTTTAAATATGCATACTTATTTACTACTAATTTTGTAAGGCGCAGTTGTGTTTACTACTGCTACGAACAA